GATCGGCGGGTATGATCTGCGAGGGAGCACGGGAGACCCGTCGGGAGGAACCGCCGAAGACCGCCGAAGCAGGTCGGGAGGAGCCAGAGCGGTGTGAGAGGGCACGAGAAGTGCGGCGCGATGCGGCTGGACTGGGTGGCGCGGGGCGCGAACTTGACAAGCTGTGTGCCGAACTGGGTGTGGCGGGTGGAGGCGGGGAAGTGATGACGGGCGCTGATGATGGCACACGGGCATCAGTCGGCGTCGTGGGACTCTCAGTCGCCTTTAGCGGCGAAGGCGCGTTTATGAATGTCGAGGATTGCGGTTTGGGTGTTATGGGTGGCGAGGGCGCGTTGAGGTCGGACGGGATGGTGATGATGCCGTTGGGCTTCAACGCAAGGTCGTCTATAGTGATATGAACCGTGAGATTTAGAAGCTTGGAGTTGAACATGACAGGTTGCGGGGAAGATGGAAGAGACGTACCACCCTGGTCCTTGCCGGCGGTACTGGCTTTTGATAATGTATTCGTCGGCGTGATGCTTGATGCGCTCGTCTTCTCTTCGGACACGGGTGCGTCGGGTATCTCAAGAACACCGTTCGGCTTGGATGGCGGCTCGGCTGCGCGGAGACGTTGTCAGCCGTGATCACGATGCGCACGGAGGCAAGGAAGACTAGCCTGTATTCGGCTTTGATGGAGTAGACGATGGTTGTACTGGGGTTTGAAGTCAGGAATGCACCCAAAACACCAAAGATAGATCAACGGGGGCGGCTTCCGAGCAGTTGTGCGACACGAAGTGCAACAAGCCGCAATTGGAGTTTTCCTTTCCCAGATGGCGCACTCGTATGACAGCTACCGAGGCACGACTATGCCATGTTCGTGGCACATTCGCCCGGGCCAGAGAGGGCGACGTTCGCGTCGTGTTCATGGCCTCTCGCAGGTGCAATACAACAGAACAATGAGCCGATCAAGACTCACTTGACGCCTTCTTCATCTCCCCATTCGGCGTAGAGCCATCCTGCGGCTTGTGCTCCGTCGTAGTACCCTTTGTCGCAGACATTCGTTTCGCCTTGGCCGGGACTTTGATCGCAAACTCGTGCGCGCCGGGTATAGGTGGTGGCAGGAAGGAAGAGCCTGGGCTTGGAAACGGAGAGGCGCTCGCGCGACGTTCGGCTGTGATTGTTATGGGGCTGTTCGAGTCCGGCGAGACGGGCGTTTCCAACTCCAGTGGATCTGAGGCTATACTCCGTTCAGAGATGATGGTGGCACAAGGAAGGAAGAGATGAGCGCGCGCACCTGTGGGATCGAATGGATTGAGGAAGCCAAAGGGATCTTGTTGACCACAATGGGCGTTAGAGGAGAAGGACCCGAACGAGCAATCAAATCATCGCGCGCACCGTTCGCAGGCACGTCTTGCGTCTTCACTTCACCGTGCATCATGGGCCTTTTTGCGCTAGAACACGCTTATATATCGTGGTCGACGTTTAAGTAAAAAGGTTCGACCGAGCACTCGTGGCACAGCACGCTCGCCCTCTTCCGCGTGTCCTCTTTGCTGAACGTCCTGTGAATCCAGGTCTTTCCGCAGGCACTGTCGCCATGGCGACAGGCACGTGGTAGCAGAAGCGTTCTTCGAAATCAATTTCTTCCCCGCTCTCACTGCCGTCATGTCCGTGATGGATAATGAAAACAGGTAAGCGCCATGAGATTCCTGTTTCAGTTTCTGCGCTGTATACTGATAGCGCCCGGCGTAGCAGCAACTCGTCTTGGGAGGTCGTGGACAGCTTCTGGCGTTCCCATGGACAGCTTCCGCAACTTCCGACCGATGAGCGCCTGGCTAGCCTGGATCACAACATACTGCGCAAACTTGCCGTACAGCTGAACGAGCTGCAGGTGTACCGTAATCAACGGGTGCCGCTACTGCTTTTGCCCGAAGAGATCCTGCTCGAGATTATGTTCATCCTGCGCGACGTTGCCCCGATCATAATCGACACCGAACGAGGATGGACCCGTGTACCCCTAAGCCCGTCCCTCGCATGGCTGTCGATTATACAGACCTGTCACCACCTACGCGCTATAGCGCTCAGATCCAAGGCACTTTGGTCGCATCTCTCGGATTTGACCATGCTACCCTCGCACGTAGCTCTAGGGCTGGCGCATTCCGGAAAGACGCCACTTCACCTGCACCTGGCCGGCTATCTCGTGGATGAGCCTCGCATCCGTTCTCTACTTGCTCCTCGGACGGCACGGCGCGTGAGAAGCCTCGTCCTTGAGCTATCCGAGTCTGACGTTGATGATTGGAATACGGACGAAGTCGAGCAGATGGATGACCTCGTCTTGAAGAGGCTCAGGCGCTTCAAGCAACTCGCCTCCCTTACCCTTGTAGCTCACCGAGATGATGCGATAGGCCTCGTACGAGGTCCAAAGCCCGAACAAGTACCGCCCAAATTGGATACCCTTCACCTCAACGGTGCCGCTTTCCTCTGGAAGAATGCGATCTACAACGATCTCCGCACTCTGCGGCTTATCAGGCTCGGCGAGGAGAACAGTCCGCGGATACAGGAGCTCAGCGCGCTCTTCCGCCGCATTAGCCGCATCGAAACGCTGGACTTCGATCGGACGGACGTTTGCGAAGACGATACGGGTATCACCGAGACCTTACCTGAGACGTGGCCGCACAGTATGCGTGAAGCGCTACAGCCGCCGTCAACGCTCAAGCACTGGAGCGCTACGATGCCGGTCTCGAACAACGTGCCATTTGCGATGCTGCCGCCTGCGCCCACACAAGACCTGCGCTTCACGCTACATTCGCATGCCCCTCCACAAGAGGCAGAGTTTATCTACGACAATTTCCTCTCGCGACATCTCGCATCGCCTGCTCTCCGCCCGAGGGCAATTGCTATCACTTTGCGCGACGGTCCCGTCTCCATGGACGCCACCATTCGTTTCTGGAGATGCACAGACACGAGCAAGCCGGCGAACGTTGAGCTCCACCGTGCAGTGGACGACTCGGCATATGTCGATCCGAGACGTCTGGTCAACGGCGCGGACCTCTCATATGTCGAGACCCTTGTTCTCGACGTCGCTAGCGGCGTCTGCTTTAACTGGTGGTTGTTCTTCACGAGCCTTCAGAAGCTGCGAACATTGCGCCTCGCGGTCGATCTCCTTGGCGAGCTCCTGTACACGATTGGGAAACGCCGGATTTTTGCCCCCGCGTCTATGGAGGGAACGTGCAGTATCGCGGCGCCAGTTGATGGTGCGCTCCAGGAAGTAGAAGTCTTCGTCAGCGATGCCGAGCCGAAGTACCCTTCCCATCGCGCGAGTCTTAAAGACCTGATACAATGGATGAAGGAACGTCTTGGGACTGGACTGAGCGTGCAGCTTCCGCCTACTATGGGGGCTTGGAGAGTTTACGAGGCTGCGCTCTTCGAATGGTCCAGGTTGGACGTTCACGAACGATTATTCCGTAAGTATGTGGCCGACTATGGCGGACAGCTTAGGACATGGATGCCGCGAGGGAGATTTCTAACGTATCGCCCGTGAGCCTCTACTTACTACGTGCTTGGGCCACGCCCATCCCAACATGACACCCTATCGTTCTGCTGTATAAAGATGTCACCTGGGCTCTATCTAAATTACTCGCCATCTTACTCTGCCTGTTGATATTACACTCATGCTTCATCGAGCTACAATTCCGGGGCTCAGGATGAGTTCCGGTTTGTCACCTAGGAGCCCAAAATCTGCCC